TTTCTGCTAAGCCTCTTGTCTGTGTAAGGTGCTTAAAAATACATGAACTTTAGAGAAAACACCTTCATTGACTGGTAAGTTGCTGAAATGATGCAGTCTTGAGGTGTGACATTATTTGATTTTTTTTCCTTGAACCTCCCCTCTGAGTTTATCCAGTTTACTCTTCAAAGTAGTAACCTTATTTATTGCTGAAAATGAAAACACTGATAATACTGTGACAGAAATTAAGGACAAATATATGCTATGCTACTTAGTGAAAAAAACCCCACAAACACACCTTCCTTGGGAGTTCCTAATTATTTGTGATTGTTAATTTTTAGAGTTCAACTTAACAGGAACTGGCTGTCAGTTGTCTACTTTTAATTATTTGAGAACTTCACAGGGTCATCAAGAAAACAGTGGAGTAAGTCTCTTTTTACTTTTGCTGGTAGACCTGAATGCTAACATGAAAGAGCAATTTCTGACACTTTTCAATCAATGTTTCTTATTATTTTGACACTGATAATGGTTAAGTTTGTACTGCCTCAAGGCAACTACATCAAGGAGCCATCTAGTAGTGTCAGGCCATCCTCGATAAACATACCAATACACACAGACAGTGCTGGTAGAATGGCGATAAAGTCTGTTGGAAAAAAAAAATCTAAACTCCACATGTAGCTTTAACTTGCAGACGTATAAATGCAATTCCTAACATGAACGTGACCATAAACAATTATTACTGACTTGGTGCAAGAGGTAAGAAAGGTCAAGACAGTTGTGCTCTCTATGGATCCAGATGGAGGAAGGAGGGGGTTGGCACAGCGCAGCCAGAGACAGCACAGAAGGTGAGGCTGTGTCCCCACTCCGGGCCAGGAGCTCAGGGCACAGGCACTCAGAGTAACAGCAAAGATGACAAAGGCTGCTTCACCTGCTCGAGTAGCACATGCCAAACAGCATCCCTTCATTCTGTGGACTTCTATGACTACTAGCTCAGATACAACTATACGCCGCTACTTTGGTGAAACTCATCATAGAAGGTGTCTTCAAAGACAAATTATGCCAAATTTTTCATCCTTGATAAGTGCAGAAGTGTACCTGAACACTGGCATTTAGCCTCCTCTCCCCTAATCTGCCAGACTTCTAAAGATGCCATGCTTAACCTCATCTACTTCACTTACTTCTGAAGCAAACATTTTTTTAAGCAGTGTAAAACAGAAGGAATTTTTAGCAAAGAATACCTTGGTAAAGGAATTGTCCTTAACTAAAACTAAGCATCATCACATAAATATTAAGGAAAATATAGAACACCATAACCTAGTTATTCTACAAGGTGTGTTTCTTGCTAGGTTCACACTGGGTGGGGTGGCAGTCATCTTCATTTTCCACAGTAATCAGAAACTATGCCCCAAAGAAGTGTGTTAAAGTTACAATAAAGTAGTACTTCTCTTTCTTATTTGCTCTGAACATAACAGTTGTAACAGCTATGCTACAAAAGTACAATATCCCCAAAATCATGTGGTTATCTTTGCAAAATTTATAAAACTGATACATCCACAAACCCATATGCAAAAAGTGTATTGCATGTTTATGATATATAATGCATACTTCCTTCATTTACAGTTACAAACAACAGCATATGCAACAAGAAACTGTTAAGCAAAATATACCCTGAAATCAGATGACCATGAAAGTTTAAGCCTCTTCAACAATTAACATCTTTCATAACACTGCTAGAAGCATTGATGAAAATTTAAGTGTGAAAAATGTACATTCTTTATTCTGCGGTTTAGATACAGAATAAAACTTAACTTTTCAGAAAATAAAACTATAGCTACAGCTTTGAGAGCTGTCAGTTTTCTTTTGAGGATAAAGTACATGCACTTTTTCCAGTTACTTTATTGCACATAATGTACAGTCATAAATGGTGGTTATTTACATGTGTTTTGGCAACGCCCATGTTTGCCTTTCCCCTCAGAATACATTATTTTGCACAAACAAAACCTTAAATGTTTCACACAAACTGCCATAATACAAGTCAAAGCATATATGTATATATGTTGCTTTATTGTTGCTGTATTTTCAGTTAATTCTACTAAGAGTTTCAGATCTCGGTTAATCTTTGCCTTGGGAGGCAGACTCCTCCCAGTTAGTCTGCTGTCAAAGACGGACACCCCAAGTGCAGGCACCAAGAAATCAGGACTGCAGCCTGCTGTGCCTAAGCCCCAGCCCCTATGCAGCACCTGCAATTAGTGCGCAGGCACAGAGAAGGAAGAGCGCTGGCTGTACTTGCGTTAACCAGTTTGATTCAACATTGATTACCACGTGTTAATGCTATGGGCCATGTGTTACTTGGACAGTATTCCATTAACAGTGTTTTAGAAAAAAAATGGATCAAACATATTAAAACAAAACAGAAATTCCGGGAACACTTATGTACTTCCAGCCCTAGGAATGTGTTACTCAGATTCCATTCTGTACAATGTGCCATTTCTGGTATTTTTATCCAGACACAAAGAACTCAGTTTCATACTCTTAAGTATGTTTCCCCCAAGTTAATTTCTTAATGGATGGTAACACACTTCAATGCTTCCCTGCATTTTCAGGGCAGAAAACCTTTTAGTGGTCCCCCTCATGGAGTACAATCTGGCAATAAACCTTTTGCTACATGTAGATTTTGGAAACACTATCAAAAGATACATTCAAATAAAAGATCAGAATCGTCAGTATACTGAACATACGCTCATTGAAAATATCTTAAAAGATGTTCTTGAAGGCACTTTATAATATTCACAAAAATACCCTTGAAGAAACTAAGTTTGTTGTACTTTGGTACAACATTTAAGATATGAACAGCATTGCTCAGATTTTACTTTGAAAGTCTAGACTACATTTTTGTTTATATTCTCACCAACAAAAAAAATATTTCCTTTTAAGATAAATCCCACTTTACTGGATCAAAGACCAATGATCTAATTGTCTTGAATGTATGATCTTTCAAACGTTAAGACAATTTAATCTCAGAATGGTAAGAAAGAAAAAGAAGCTAACTTCAGTGATTTAGCAATATTGAAGTCATCCTCAAATTTGGTGATGAAAACAGTTTGTACCTTTCCTATAAGCAGGTAAAGTATAAAATAGTTAAATTTTCAGATAGGCACTCAGGTAAACTGAGAAATACCTTTGGCAGGCAACAATAATGCATATATTAATTTGACTTTAGCGTTTTCCTATTTTTGTTTTCCTTCAGCTTTAAAGTACTACAAAATTTACAGCAACTTCGACTACTGTATATACTGAAGAATGAGATGAAAATGCACTGTGGACAAAGTATAACAGCAGTTAACATCTATTGATAAAAACCCAAAATAATAAAAATATTACAGAAAAGCAGTAGTTCTGGAAATAGAAGTATTCTTCAATATAGAAAATTAAAATTTTGTTCCATTTGAATAGTTTCACCTATACTGGACACAGTACTTCACCAAACTACATGTGCGCCTCTGATAAAATTCTTTAAGAATGTAAATTATTTGCTCTGTAATGACACTTGTTCCATTATCCAGTCAAAAGGTCCTGATATTATCTGTTATCAATATCTAATATTCCTATTATCTGCCTGTGGCTGAGTTTTAGGATAGCAACAACATCTGTTAAATTAAAAAAAAAAATTCTGCACAAGTGAAACTATTCAAAATGAATTAGTATTTCATCTCTACCTAAAACTTTTGTAAAACAAAGAACTACATGCCATTAGAAAACTAACAAATGTTATCAAAGCTAGACTATTTTTCTCCATAAAGATGCATAAAATTTTAATTACTAGCAATACTGTGAGAACTCTATTTATAGTTTTATATTGCATGTATTTCAAGATAAATAGCTTGAAAAGTCATAAATTAAAGGAGGAATTTGAACAGATTCAGATTCCTCATCTGAAATTTTACTATCTACGGGAAAAAATGGACTTTCAGGAAGAAAACTGTTGACATCTGAGAAGTTATCTGCATTGAGGATCTCCCTCAACATTAGTGATAATTACTGCCCACTCAAGGTTACAAATCTAGAACTACCTGGGAGATATAAAGGAGCCTCAGACAGTGTAGTTCTAAGAAAGGGGAAGCATATCTGTAAAAATATTTGCATAGCTGAACATTCAAAACAGCATTTTCACCATTTCAATTCCCTGCATTCATGTTGCTCCAGTCATCCACAGGGATAAAGATCACATAAAGGCAGCTCTGGAATTTGAAATGGATGCTGCTTGGTAATTTAGTGAAAGGTGTATTTTTGTACTTTCTGCAGTCACTAGGAAAAAATCCAGTCTGACCTTTGGCTTACAGAAGTTGTACTCCCCTGAGCTAGGCAATACTGATAGACTTCAGCAGAAGTACCAAAAATAAAGTTACTTGAAACAGCATGGTATAAATAAGGCACTTTTGCCAATGGAAACCCCCAGGTTTTGCGTTTCAATGTACAGCAATTCTACCCAGAAATGTTTTGTGCTTAGAAACATCACGTGATGCAACAGTGAATCAGGTGCCAAAACCAACAAATCACAAATTACTGTGCGATTAACTGCAACCTCTGAATGGTTCAACAAAGAATCAAACTGGTTTCTGTACACCATCACAATTTACCAATACACTGGCATCTTTTGCTCTTTTGCTGTGAGCCAACAATAATTATTTTAGAGAAAGAAAAAGAAAGTGTGGAATTAGTAATGCAGATGCTGAAAGGCAAGTGGCAAGACTCTACAAGAAGAATGCCTCAAAAATGCTACTTTGTTCCCATTTCTACTGGCACCTATTCCCCAAGGTAAAAGGCCAGAATGACCAAAGCCAATTTAATAGTAGTGTGCAGAATGTCAGCTGACAAACAACATAAAAACAAGTCACGTTGTGTTATCTGTGGTCACGTTCTTCAGGGTTAGTCCAGTAACTCGACTTCACATTCTTCCGTCTTTATTTGTTTATTTTAATTAAACATGTAATGGTTAATAAACAGACATAATCCAGAGTTAGTAGGTTGGTATTATAACATTTATTAAAATAATGCTATGGGTTAATAGAAACAGCAAAGAACCAAAGAATTAAAATGCAAGCTATGTAAAAACCCAACTAAAACCCAAATATGTCTAATGTATTCATCCAGTAGCTAACTAAAAGCCCAAGAAAGACAACACTCCCAATATAATAAAGTACTGCAAAACAATTGGCAATTTTTCAGTTATCAAAATTGTGGGTTTTGCATTTTGTATCCTTTTTTCTCAATCAGGAAAAAAATTCTTTTGAATGTTATATAACATACATATAAAACAAGATAGAAAAATACATTATAAACTTGTAACAATGGCTGTAAATACATTATCTTACATGTTTCTCATAGGCAATAGGTTGGTTATGGTACATACATAGCATGAAACTACTAAGATAATAAAGAATAGACAAATACATGTCATCTGTACGGTTACATACAAGCGACACTCCCATCTACCCACTCTAAAAAAATTACATAATACTGTCAGAAAGAAGTCTTAAAACTACTTATTTTAATAAAGAAAAAGTCATTAAAGAATGATAATACTGAGAACCAAGGCATTCAGAGATTTCAAAAGTCATGCTTTTTTTTTTAAGCTGATCCAAAATTTTGTCAACTAAGTTTTCAGAAGTTTGTTCAGAGCAAACATTACTTTCACATGTCACACATCTATTCCATACACTTCCCCTCCCCCCCAAAAAAAGACCTTTGATAAATGTCTACAATGTCCAGGTTTTATCATAGTTGAGATGAAACTGGATCAAATACTGGTATTGTTTTAGCAAATCTCTCTTCAAATGTTTGAGTGTCGCAAGTTTATTCAACCAACCAACCAAAATAAAATCAAAATGGCACAGCATATACTGTAAATAAAATCAACACAACTGTATGTGTAACAGGAAGACAAAGCTGGTGGCACAATAAACAAAAATCTAGCTGAATACGAAAGGATGAATGTCTATTGCATAGTAAATAAACTGATAATTATTTCCAGGTGAGACAAGATGTTAGATGAGGTCACCATGCAGGTGCTTAAAAATGTAAGCCCTCTTAGCTTAATATTGACCTTTCATTTGGAAGCTGTGAAGATTTGCAGGAGGAGAATAAGTTGACAAGAGGGGAGTAAAATTATCACCTGATATTTGCCAAGTTTAGTACTGAGCCCCACAACGTAACACTTAATGATTTCAGAATTAAACACTGTGCGTTCAACAGCTTCAGCTCTTGCAATTGCCCAGCTATTCGAACCTCATGTGGAAAGAAGGGTTAAAAATAAGGTATAGCTGGACTTCAAATGGCTGAAGTCCCTCTCCTGCTTATCTTTTCAAGAAAAGCCAATGGGCCAGATTTAACAATAGCCAAAGATGAGCTGAAAAGTAAAGCAACTTCCATGCTGTTTGCCACTGCAGAAGCTGTTCCTGGAAACTGGGGATGTGCTCAGTCACTGACTGAAAACTCGCTAAGCACTTTCAGTTTCATTATCTGCAGAACATCAATTTTCTGGGTGATGCCGAAGCCTACTACAGTTGATGTAACATTTATTTCAACCAGAATCGACAAAACTCCTCTCTATCCCTGAACAAAAATGACGTAACTTCTAGCTCTACAAACATTTGTCAGCTAATAATCTCCTTTAGCATGAGACAGTCTGTATCACAGAACCCTTTGGTTTACGTTGCACAAGTACGGCATTTGCTATGATTTAAAAAGTAGAGTGGCTGAAATAATAATGGGCTGGTTTGATGAAAACTTAGCAAATACTTCACTTAATGAGATTTTGGCAAAGTCACATCACACTAGTATGGCAAAAATCAGGTAATTAATATGGTCAACTCATCATTTGTCTTCCCTCACAGCTTCTTTCACATACTGGGCGACTGAGTGGCATGCAGTAACTTGTCTGAGGGAGAAGCTGATTATACAAGACATTTGACTAAATGACCATGAAGAAAATAAGGCACTTCCTTTTCTTTAGACTTATTCCAATACTTAAAAAATAAAAAAGAAAGACTAAAAGGCTCTTTTGGTCTTTTGTTTCTTGACAACCACCAGAAAAAATCATTTAATGAAATAAAGGGTTTCTTTGTTCTTTTTTTCTTTTTTTATAACACTTGAAAGTATAAAATGCTACATTTCCAAAAATATATTTTTTTTCTGCACCAGCACCCTTGTATAGTAAAAGTATCTACTTTTTTGTTCATTTTGTTTCAATGCACTACACTTTATCTACATTTCATTACATGTATACAGCAAATAGGCAAGCATGGCTTTTACATCCTTAATGAAATTTTTTCTATACAGGGAGGTTTAAAAAAAATATTTGAACAGTTTGCCCAGTAATGTGACACATAATGCATGTACCTTGTTCTCATGTAATCTTCCAAGGAGATTAAAATATGGTTAAAACAATTTAAACTTGTATTTTGCTTTAATAGTGTTGCTGTTTTGTTCTCTGCATTAATGTACTTCTGAAAAGTCATTGCAATCTGTATTTCATGGCACACTTTCCTTTAAAACGTCCAATTTGGCAGGCAATAGAAAAAAGGCTGCAACATCTGCCCTTTGAGGGCACTGGTAGTGACTAAACAGCATATCAAATTTTGAATACTTTTTGGAATCCCTTCCCCAATGACATCCCTGACCAAAGGTTCATGCATGATGCATCATCACACAGTACATTCAGAGAGAGCTTTGACTTTTTTTTTTTTTTTTTTTTTTCTTTTTTTCTGAGAAGAAAAATATTCCTAGAAGTCTCTCACAGTAACTGCCTCTGTCATCGGGTAGTTAAGGGACATCTGTCTCCATCTCGTGCGAGGCCTCCTTACCGTTCGCTTGGGGCGGGACACTAGAGGATGATCAGTGCGGAGGGATGAGTTGGACCTTATTGCTTTACTACTATTCAGTGCAGGTTCTAGAACCACTTTCACCCAAACAGGAGAACAACAAAAAGCGGAGTTGGAGGACAACAATTTCTTTGTCTGTTTTGTTAGATGGTAAGACGAACGGACAAGTGCCCCAGCTCGCTGCACTGAAGACAGGCAAGCAAAGGCGTTTACCAGTTAACTGATCAGCAGGCAGGCATGGTCAGGTCATCATTGGGTGAAGAGTTCAGAGGTCAGAAGGTCATAGGTTAGTTGCCGGTGGCGGCTGGGTGGTTAGAAACAAAAATAATAAAAAAAATAAAAAAATAAAAAAAAAAAAAAAACAAAAAAAAAGAAAGAAAAGATAGAGAAGAGATTAGTTCCAGCTAGTGACGGCTTAATGACAACATGAAAACTAATCACAACTAATAAAAAAAACAAGCATGTTTAATTCTGACATACTGATCGACACCATCTACAGAATGCAATAAAATCATGACAGCCCTCCATCATGATTTGGACACGTGAAGGAGAAGCCCACTCCCACAAAACCGGTTAACAGGAGAAATAGAGATAAAATATGACTAACGACTAATGGTTAGTAGCAGTCGATGAAGGAAAATTGGAAAACAAAAAACGATGAACAGTTTCTGAATTGGGTAGAAGATTTCTGGAACAACAGTCAGTGCACAGCATCAGTATCTGACTGCTATTAAGCATTAGTACCTCCCCAGGTGCAAGCATTAAAGCAACTATTAATGATGGATGTGATTATTAATAACTGGTTGTTAAAAGAATGGAGTCATCTAAGGAATTCTGGACTTAGAGAAACAATTTGGTTCAACAAACTATGGGCCAAACAAAGGGTTTTTGTTCAATAAATTTTTTATTGCCTTTCATTTATTCTATTTACAAACAACATGGAATTTCTTGGCCTCATGGTACAAAGCAGTACTATAAACTGTAGTCTAGCAACGTAGGCATCATCGTGGAAACCAGGAAAACGCTCAGCCTGCTACTATAGCTAGCATTTTCCTGTTCGAAATACTATTTTACACATATAGGACACTTATAAAATGCACTTGCATGTAAACACTGTAGAAGTCCTGCCATTTTAAAGTCTATACTTAAAAAGCTCTAAGTACATGAAAAAATAGAGAAAATATCTAATTGATACTAATAAGGCATTTTAAAACTACAAACAGCTCTCTTTATTCTTTTTCAAAGCTAATATTCTGCAAATACAATAAAATCTGACATTTCATATACATTCCTGCTTTATATTTTTATATTTTAAAAGAAGCCACCTGTAAATACTATTTTCTTTTGCAAAAAAAAAAGGAAAAAAGAAAAAAACCAACAAAACGAACAAAAAAATAAAACCCAAAACCACAAACAAATTACAGTAAAACATAAAAAAGTTCTCAAGTGGAAAGTTATCATTCCCAATGTTCTTGAGCTATTCCTTCTTTAATCATTCTCTCGCATTCTCCTTCACCAAACTTGGTCCACTTAACAGTAGTATAATTTTTTTTTTATTTTTTTTTAAGACTCATTCAACAGCTTAATTAGAGCTAATAAATTCTGAGGTTGATAAAAGTTTCTGTACTGTTGCCATTTTGACTAAGGCAGAGGAGATGAAAGTGAGAAAGGTATTCAGTGCAAAGTCAGATTTGTGCCATTACATAAATGAAGTCCAGTAGGTGTAATATTCACAGATACCATTGATTTAACAATCTTTCTTGTGGGTTCATTTACTTTCACATAATAAAAGTGGCCTATCATTTAGGATACAGTTCATAACACTACAAAAAATTACTACTGTAACATAAATGAGACCCAACGCTCCCTGAATTTTTTTTCAGAATCACGCTAAGTGGGATTTGTTTAAATTATAACAGCTGTTTCAAAAAGAAGAAAAAATAAAAATAAATATTTTATGTGGCACAATCTTACCACTTTATAGGTATACTAGAAACAGACTCTTAAAGCATTTTGATACTCATTACAATTTTGATTAAAAGGTATTAAAATTTATATATAAATTATGTGAAAATTGGTTTGGATAAAACATTTGAGAAAATTCTCAGCATTAATATTTCTTGTGGAGTATAAAATCAAAGCAAGTTACCTTCAAAAAAATACCAGGACACCTGTGATACATCCTCTGCCAAGTCTCTGGCCTTCTACAGTACACACAGGTTTGTCAACTGTGCAACACCATTTACAGTTTATTACAATTAAATCAGTCAGTCTCTCTGTTATATGAATCAAATTCAATTTTGTATTATTTATAAACTGGGGGTTTATTCTGAGTTAAAATGAGCTATATTTTTCAACCCTTCACCAATTCTACATGCTTAGTTGTAAAACATTTACACATTTGGGGATTCTTGCTTTAAATGCAGTGCTTATCTCTGGAAAAACAACCCAAAACCAACAAAAAAATCAAAATTATGCAAAGAATAAAAACTACTTAAAAAGTGAATGCAGTAGTACTACAAAATCATCTGAGAGTCAATTTAGAATTTAAAAAAAAACCAAAAAAACAAACCAAAAACCACCAACTTCAGACCCGATGAATGCAAAGATAGATTTAGTGACACTTAACTATGTAAGAAAAACTTCCACATTGAAAAAAAAAGTATTTCGGTTTGCTGACATTGGTTTTTGTGGCCATGGCTACAGAAATATCCTGGTGACAGAACAGCCAAATAGGTGAATGTGGCAAATACTGACAGTATTTTAATTCTACAATATAATTTTAGTACATTAAAAAAAAAAATTAATGCTGAACAAAGTTGTCAGCAAAACCTTTTGTGTGAGACTTTTAAATACATGCAGGGATAACCGAGGATTTAAAATTCAAAATACAGTGGAGTTCAGTTGTAAAATTAACTGGGATTATTTAGATAAGACTTTAAGAGAATGTTTTCCTGAAATATCAGTATGGTTTTCCTAAGAGAGAGGTATGCATGATTTATTCCACAGGAAAAAGACGTGTATTTATTTATCTACTTAAGACGGTGGGCTTCCAAAATTGTTAGAAATGAATGCTGGTTTATCACAAAATGGCTGCATTTTAAAAGAGGGTGAAATTATGCCAATAATTAATTTAAATAACTTTAAAGTGACCCAGATGAAACATCTAGGCCCTTCCAAAAATATTTAAAATCCATGTTGAGCAAATATTATAATGATAAACTAAAAAATGGCATTTTCTCCATGAAAACACCCCTATCCCCTCTTTATCAGTGTATTTACTAGTTGTCTCAGGTAAATATCTAGTTGCTAAAAAGGTAGCCATATCTGTCACCTGAAACTATCATTGCAGATCATGAAGCATCATTAGCAAAAAACTGTTTTTTGCAACATCGGGTCAAATTTTCAAAGACAACCAAATCCTTATCACCAATTCCTCCTGAATGAGATAGAAAAATAAAAAAAAAAGGAAATATTAAAACCTATTTTCCTTTTTACTCTTTTTTTTTTTTTGAAACATGGGCTGTGACATTTAACTGATTATATTCTGTTGCCCCATTGAAGAGTTCTCAAGAAATGAGAACAAGCCAATGGGTTGCAAGTAGTGGGCAGTGATATAAAACAATCTTACAGAAAACTAAAATAGAGTCCTCTATCAGCTTTATTCTTTCTGTAAAGCCTACAATTATATCAAAGATAAAAATGTTGCATAAATATACCAAATATCCAGGAAGGCCCCATTTACTGCCTTGGCCAGAATCTGTATTCTCTCTTGTAGTTAATTTATGGAAGGTTGTGAGAAGTGTGGTCAATGTTAAGAGATGTCAGATCTGTCACTGGAATTTGGCTTTTGAATATTACAATATAATGAAATCTGCACAAGACTGATTTGGGTGAGAGCAGAATAATAATACTTGGCACAAAATGCTTTGCATCCTCAAAGCCCTGTACAAAACAAGAACCCCCACAACACCCCTGTGAGGTAGGGAAGTATTATTATCCTTATTTGACCAATGGGAAACCATACACAGAGAGATTAAATGACTTGCTGAAAACCACAGTGAATCAGCAGCAGGGATGGGATAAGAATTCATCCCCCACACTGCTTCCTAGCCAATGTCAATAAACCGAAAATATCAGTTTTCTCAATTAGCTTAAACACTTCATTCAGGGGTCCAAAGGCATGACACTTGAGTAACAGGAGAAAAATGAAGATTTACTTTCCATTCAAGGGTTAAAGAGAGATGCCCAAATAATGGATGTCATCTCACCAACAGGTCTTCAAAAGTTGTTTCTCCTTCAGGTTACACATTTTAGCAGCAAAAGGCAAATACCAAGAAATAGATTTTGGAAAAAAACCCCAAAACCAAACAAAAAACAAAACAATCAAAGCACCCTCCCTTCCCCTATCCATACTAATTCAAACTCAAACAACTTTTGAAGTTATCTTCACAGCCCTTACCTTTCTGAATTCAGTTAGGTATCTGAGAACATGCATCCTCCTCATAATATACAGTACAGTGGCTCAAAAGTTTATTGGAAAAAAAGGAATCTAAATCTTCAGATTTCTCCAAACACAGACAGGAGGCATTTATTCCTTTACTTCTTTCTCATTAAGCAACCATCCATTCATTTTGTTTTGCAACACCAATCTGATATTTCCACGCCAATTAAAAGAATGAACCGGGGGCAGGGGGGGAAGAGGGGAACACAACCAAATTAATTATTGCAGCACTGATTTCATAGCGTTTCCTGATGCAGATAGATGTTTCATTTTTAAAACTCAATCAATTATAGAATTTCTGTTAAATGTATCAAATTACATATATTTAATTGAGCTGGGAAGGCCAAGTTTAGAAATTTTTTTTAAAAACCGCAAGCATTCCCAAAGCTTTAAAATATTAACTGTCCAGGTTTTTGAGAAAAATCATGAATGGGTCAAGACCGGGTATTTGGTTAACCAGCTGTGGTGTTGCAAATCTCATGTACACTCAAAGCACTTCTTACAAACAAGAACTGCAGAACTAAACTAACCTCGGTCTGCGGTCACAATCCTTTGGTAAGGATGGACACGCATATCGTGCCTTCGAACTTTAGTAGCCACCGCACCTAGTTAAATTGCAATTACCAAGACAAAGTTAGAAAACATTCACAGAAAACATTAACAGCAGGTTTATCAAAATGGATTTAAATGATCATTAACTACAAAAGTTCATTTTAAGAAAAGCAACAAGTTAAGGCACAGTAGTTTCAAATCTTAATCTTAAAAAGAAGTTTATCTGTGCAGATTAATATTGCATTTATTTTAAACATCCTGGCCTTAACCTGTTTAATCCATTCATTTACAATCCCAAAATTACAGTATTTCATGAAATCTATTAGACCCAAGCACATTTAAGCTTTACTAGTCACATATTCACTGAAGTGCCTTTCTTGCAGCAGGACTATTTTAAATAATGCCATCTTTAATACTGACAATTATTTGCTAACCTTAAGATCACTTCCAGTTCTACCACAAAAAAAAAGTTTTAAAGCAATTCTTCAAGCCTACAGATTGTGATTTTAAACTTTAAGTCAATAAGTATGAACTGCAATGAATTAGGTGATTAGTAAAGCAAACACTATATAGAACACTTAGCAGTCAGTATACTACTATACACTCATAAATTACAGCTACTCTGTAATAATAGGACCTAATCCAAATTAATAGCACTATCTTATTTTAAATCTATGTGCAAAAAAGTGCAAGTAAGTCACTGACTGCTAGGCCAAGCTTTTTTCAAGGCTGCTGAAAACTAAGCATTTGTTAAAATTCAGATCTGATGAAGGATCAGTTAAGACCGTTCTTGAATTCTTAGCCTTTCGTTGGGAAAGCCATACCTGAAGATAAAAGGAAGGGAATTGAAAGTTAGTCACCAACTAAAATTTGATCTCAATACCAACATCCCCAAAAATACTGACAGGGATGCATTTCTCTGCCATTTTTAACAGAATTATTTTAAAACATCTTAAAGGTCCACCTCACAAATGGACAAAATACTATTAATGAGAGAATGAGCATATAACAAAATAAAACTCAACAAAATACAAATTTAATGCAATTAACTCTATACAATTGCTCAGATAATAGAGCTGATGTATTAAGAGTTATAGATTCTAGGCACCTAAAGGGGAGTGTGGGGTTTTTTCCCCTACTCCCTTTTCCTTCTTTAAATAACATTTTCTGATGAGGTCTGTTTTGGGCAATACGCCTCACACAGTTGGGCCTGAGTGTAAACAGTAGTTTTGGATGCCAGTTTAGAAGTAATTTTAATTTTTCCCTCATATCTCTTTACAGAAAATCCTGCGAGAAATCCAAGTTCCCTGCATTGTAATAAACTTCACTCTGGAATGCTGTATTTCTTTACTTGCTATTAACTGAATTCAGGAGAGGGGCTTGCACTAACCACTAACAGCTACTTTGATGAACTCTTTGTGACTTGACCCCACATGTACCACAACTGGACTCTACTGGGGGTAGAGGAGCTAGGAAGAATATTTACATGTTTGTGGGAAATTAATAAACGATAATGCTATCCTATGCTTGCAGAATTTTGGCAATGGGTCAACTGACAACCACCAGAAGCTGACACACATACTGCATACTTTTGTCCTACTAGAATTTTTGTTATTGATTCACTAATCCTGCAAGACAGAAGTCTGAAATACATTTTCTTTTTTACTGCAGATAATGTGGAAACATGCACACATACAGATAACTCACCAAGTATTTGTCAGGTGAAACACTGATTTTTTGCAATACTTTCAACAAAATATTGACTTTGAACCTTATTGTCCAGTGCTCATTAGAGATGTTTAGAATTTGTGTAAATCAATAACTGCCACTGAACAAACTAAGATCAAAGTCCTATAAAATCAACATTATGCAGGACCAAGGTCATATGCAATTCAGAACAAACTGAAGAGAAAGATAATTTAGATTCTGGAGAGGGTAGGGAAGGAAAAAACTATTGGAACTGCTTGTTCCATATTGGCCAGTTAACTGAATTGTCACGGCTGCTTTATCATTCTTGCCTTCACACACCAAGTCAGCGGTCTGAAATATTAGGAATGATGGACACTTCAATGCAACGTATATAAAAGAAGCCATCAGTAAAGTTGCTAATTTTACTTTATTTTGGTGAGAATTTGGTTTGCTTGATATTCATTCACTGAAATAATTTTCTGCTCACAATATAATTTAGCGTTTTCTGACACTGAGGAGAGATTTATCAGCTGCATACTAAATAAACAAAAACTCCAATTGAACGAAGACTTCTCCACTCCCTCCAGTTTTGCTAACTAATACGATATAGCAAAATGAGAAGCCCTCTCTTCCCAAAATTGCTGGATGTTAATTTATGTTAAAGAGAATACAAACTGATCTGTTATTCACGGGAGCCCAGATGACATATAATAGACCTCAACTTGTATTTAGCTTCTTTCCCCGTTGCCTATGTATGGGCAACTTGTATTTAGGTTTTTTCCCCCTTGCCATCTAATATCATACAAACACGAAGACATTTATTTTTGGTAAATTTATGAATATAAACTAAGCACACACATTCAGGAATTCTAAACACATTTAAAATGTTTAAGAGCTGCACCATTTGAGCAGCTCACCTGGGTGGCTTGGATATACCTGAAATAAGTTTGCCACTTCAGATTTTTTTCTTTGAGCTCCATGAACCTCAACCTTGCAAACACAAGAGAAGCACAAGCAACACATTCTGCAGCCATCCACGTAGAAAGGTCTTACCTAATACACCACTAGGTTCAATAGGGTACTCAAGGATTGATGTAGCTGGTGCCAGCGTGTAGGGGTACTCGTATGGTGTGTAAATTAAACCGGCCTCGGGTCCGGGAGGAACTATTGCAGCGGTGGGATGAGGAGTTCCGTTTGGCATGACAGCGGTTTGTATTTGTCTGATCAAAGGCATTATGGTAGGGCCAGCTGGCGTAGGAGTACGCAGGGCAGCTGGTGGGAGAACAGGCGCAGGCCCAGTAATAATCCTTGGAGCCTGGGCTGTTGCTGCAAGAGAAAAGGCAAGGGCTGCTACAGTAAGCAAAGAAATTCAGAGGAAAGTATGGAGATAGCAGTACAAAACGTGGAAAGAATGGGAAAAAAGGGAAAAAGTAGGAAAGAAGAAAAATAAAAGGAAATCATTAGTACATGCGCTGATCACACAGTGCCAAAGCACACCATTCAAATGCAAACAGCTTTCCATTTTCCAGTGTGATTAAGTATGAACATGCAAAATAAAAATGCCATTGTAAAACAGTGAGGTAGATTTCTCAAACAGGTTACACAGCACGAAAGCTCCATTTAGACCACATTTCTTCATTTATGCTATCAAGACTGCATGAGACTGAGATGCATGCAGGAAATACAAGGAAAATACTATCACAATCAAATACAGAGTACAAAATTTAGTGCATCTATAGAGTCCACAGACACTCAGTTATGCAGAGCTGCTGTATGAGTCTAGAGATTTTACGTGTCTTAAAATTGTATTTAAACATATACACAATTCCCATTTCCAGGATCAGTGAAGCTGAAGGTGACCTAGAAACATGAATTGGTCCTGTCCTACCATAACATGATTAAAATAGGCTCAAATTTTATTTTCATATAAAATTTCACCAAATAACATACTTCCTTTGTATTAGAAGTTCACCATTGCCTTGCTTAAGTTAAAGAAAATAGGTGGTTTTTATGTATTGGTTTGGTTTTTTGTTTGTTTGTGGTGGTCTTGTTTGTTTTCTGAAGTGGTGCTAGCACATTCAATTAAGTGTTATTTGAAGCCTGTTGGCACACCAGATGAACAACTTAAGCACTACATATCTGCTGGTAACAGTCAGTCTTAAAGGGTTATAATTTATGCATTTCTATGCACTACTGTCGATCTACATAGATTTAATTAACTTAGAGGTGGCCTGAAAAGAGAAATGTGGCAAAGTTTTTCAGATTTGACACTGGTGAATATCTAAAATGATTTTTATTTTTTAAACAAAAATGCTCAGATAATATAAAACTAGTACTCAAATATTTATACTTCCTTTCTTAAACAGAAATAAACCAGTACAGCTTCTACATCTCCAACTTTTCAGTAAAATGCAAACACAAAGACTGAAATTGTCTTATCAAATAATGAGTATTAGTGTGGCAATCTCCAGTCAAAAAATAAATAAAAAATTCCATCTTCCCACTTACACTGATATAATAGACCAATGGGAACAGACCAGAAAAAGAAATTGCTCAAATTATTAAAAACATTTCTGTGCAAAAGTTTGCATAAATTTAGGCTATTCTGAAAGCTATTTTAATCATAAAGTTGCAATAATTAAGAGACTACCATATATTTAGAACTGATCTAGCTTTAAATATCATAGTGTTCATTAGGGCTGAAAGACTTACCATTACCATTGTAGTTGTAAAAGCCTTTGCTTATGTCCCTTTTCAAATCAGAATAATTACACTGGTGTAAGCACTCTCAAATTGACCTAACTGCATTCCAACCTTTAAACATAATCAACACTGAAATGGGGACTGTGTGGAGAAACAAATTTGCAAATATCAGTAGGTCCTTAGTGAAAAGACTGATTTAACTGTGCTTACATTTGACATCTGTATCACAGCTACAGCAAAAATGTACTTTTGAACAGAGTCAGCAACTATATTTTCAGGAGGAGAAATCAGATTTTCAACTGAAGAAAATAAATTGTATCACACATAATAGGTGTATGCTTTCATTAGTAGGTGCGTGTAATTAATTTTCAAGTGTAAACTTGTGCACACATGCGTTGGCAAAAGCATTTTCACACAAATGTAATGGAAGTAATTGTAAAAACGGCTCATTACATCACTGATCCGTGTGAACTCAGCTGTGAAATCAGTTGATGAATTGTTGGTAAAACATAACATTGGGGGTACACATGCAAGCAAGATGAAAGGAAGGAATATAATACAGAAAAATGTATTTAGAGCATCCTGAACATCTGTAACATTTTCAAATTAAATCCCTAAATATAAAAATGCAATGGAGTCTACTGTCCTTTATATGCTTTAAGGAAAAAATGACTGTAAAACAGAAAAATCCAGTTGAAGGGTTGAGGTTTTTTACACTATATATATTAGTAAATATTTCAACCCATACATACTGTTAAAAAAATAATGGGGACAAGAAACAAGATAAAAAACCCCGTGAATGGACATAACTTATCCCCCAAAAATCTTTTGCAACAGCTACCTACAGCTTTGTTGGGTTCTTACTGCCTTCCATTCTCCAACATAAGTTGCCACCGAACATTTTCCAAAGGTAGCTTTAACATTCAAAGCCTGCAAACAGTTCTATGGCATTGACCCTTGAGCTCGTGACATGCTTACGTGATTTGATGTTGGCATCTCTGTAGGTGCCATTCAGAATTGCAAGCTCCATCAGCTGCATCTTTTTAAGGCTGTCTTCTCCTTCTGCCTGCGTATGAAAAAACAGGCAGGAAGTCAGGATTATGAACTTGTTAGTGCACAAGATCTAAGTGACCTAGAATAAAATTGTTCAAGTTCTAACCAAGCAAAATACCTGTTTACCATTAGTCACAAAAGCAGCAAGCTTTGTCAACTTTTCCACATAATTAAGTGGAAGCTGCCAGTTGACTATCTTCAAGCCTTGTTAAGAAATATCTTCAAAGAGTTTAGGAAAAGGTTCATAACATAAATTCTAAAAATTAAAGATTAAAGTTAAATTGCATTTGGTAGAAATCATTTAAGCAATATTTTTCTCAAATACATTTTCACGTACTCCTAAAGGTATCTTTAAAAAAATTGTACTATTGGGCCATAGATGAATAGCCATCACAAATTTTAAGCACTGCAGTTTATTGTAATTTGCTCCATTACAGTCAATACTGACTACTGGAGGATGTGGGGCAAACAAAAAAATAAACAATCTTTGAGTAGCTTTCCAGACAGGACACTGACAACTGCCCTGAGGCTGAATTCCTAATTCTGGCACGCGTAGATGTATTCTGATGAGAGTATTACTATTATTTACACAGCACACATTACTCTTGGTTTTGCTTCAATTAAAACTACTTCCCTGAAGTTACCTACTCCATTGATATCGTGCAGGTTGCATAAATATTAAATAGCGTTCAGTAGAACAATGCTCACTTTTTCAGTTAGTAATAAAAACACTTCTAACATATATTACAATGTATAATAGTATAATTTCATTTTCAAAACCAGAGAATTTCTGATCTGTCTTTCCAAAAACACTACTATTTGTTTAGTCTACACTCTATCGAGCAGAAAATGTGATTATGATAGAGAAAACCCATGAGAGATGGTCAACGTCTACTTTAATGTCAGGTTACCACCTTGCCTCCTGTATGGAATGCCACTGCTGAAATTCTTATGTCAGATGCATAGAAGGGCAGCTTTCCTGTGAACTGCAATGCATTCTTCCTTTGCTAAACTGGATTTCTTACATTTTTACTTCCTGAATCACACAATATTTTCCAGGTATTTGGAACAGTATTTTCCAAGTTAATGAGCTTGTTATACATACTTTACTCCCAAACTGTGGATTAGTAATTTAGATCCAAGACAAAAACAGTTTTCAAATTTTATCTAAGCAAATCTAGTACTTATTGTGAGGTACACTCAAGGGTCATGACCCCTTGCAAAGGGAACTTTTAGCAGCTGATTTTTATCAACAACTCAAAATCAACATGGTAAGATGAGTCAACACTGAATTCCTTTCAAATGTCAGAAATTGAAAGTCCCAACTGTAATACTGGGGACTTGCATAAACACCATGATTATCACACAGTAAACATTCAGAATATACTGGAAATTAGACATTTTCTTTGTATGTTAAATATTGTATGACAGGGCAAGCTGACACTAATACTAAAAAAGGAAATACACATTGAATTACCATCTTAACTAGAAATTAATTGTACATTTAAGTACCATACCATGAAGAAATGTCAGACCCTATAGTCCCATAACCCCTTTGGAATACAAAATGTGCCGATTCTAGCAATCTTAATATGACACAGAACAGATTTATAATTTACATGCAAAATAATATTATCTTCTTTTTAAAATAAACTATTTTTCCACTGCATCTTTGCTGGTAAATTACCTAGGCAATCATGACACAATAAAACCAATTCCAAATCCATTTCCCTATCCAGAGCTCACAAATTCTCATCATTCTGGATATACCTTATCGAGGTTCTTCTAGCAATAAAGATTTTTTTAACATATTGATTAATCTTTTCCCCTCCCCTGTAAATTGTACTTTCTTACTTGCTTTTTGTTACATTCATGTGTTTATTTATTTGAAAGTGTGTAACAAGAAAACCTCTTCACAATGTCAGCTGCATCTCTCATATAGTTCCAGTACTGTTACTAAAATTGCACACTTCCTCCAAATAAGACCTTCAGGAGACTGATCTACGCCATTAATGACTTTCAGTAAATGCTGAATATTACACTCCACTTGCTAGGATAATTTTAGTAACCCTAATCCCAGATTTTGCACCACAGTGAATATTTCCCAATATAACTATTTATAGGAAAATAATTTTAAGACAGAAAATATTTTTATCCTTTTGATATGGTCAGAAGAAGGAGATATAAGTCCAAGTAATCATTCTGACTTTAACATTTTCCTATAGGTCACTAATGCTCTCTATTAGAAGAGATGTTGCAATTACTAGGCTTTATGAAGTTTGTTTATGGAACTTACAGTGGACTTAAACAAAGCAGACCAAGTCCTTAATTTTATCCTTGAGATTTACTTTTCTAGACTATGCTCAGCAGTTGATAAACTTTTCTTCTTTTAAACAAAACCTAAAATACAGCTTAAAATGTTCCTTTAACAACTGTATCAGTACAAAAAGTCAGAGATGGAAGAAGTGGACTTGCATTACCAGACACTAACACTTCCGGTGCTTTAATTTTTGAAGCATTTATTAGATACAAAAAAAACCCCAACTCCGACAAAAAACCCATTCCACCCCTTGGAAAAACACGTGTAACGCTGACCACAAGGTCACGGTTCCGGCTCCTCCCAGAAGATGGCACTGTTTGTTGCACAATGCCACCTCTGCAGGACACGGGTGCGCAGCACTGCTGGCACCACCCACCCTACCCTACCCTACCAGTGCTGCCCAAAATCCTGCCAGCCCCTGGCACCCTGCCCTTGAACTGTCACTTGTCACCTCTCCTCATGGCGAAGCCACAGAAGCGCCCATGACCCTTTGGACACACTTCTGTGTCCCTCACTCTCTGGTACCAAGCCCTCCACTTGCCCATCCTTCACCAACAGCCAGCCCCTCAAACTTCCAAGAGCTGCGTCAGAGCAAGGGGCACATGTTTTTCCCTGCCCTATCCTCTCGCTTCTTTGCTGACAGATGATCAAATGAGGCACACGAGATCTATCTTAGCTCCAGGCATTCCTGCAGGCACTCTCTGTTCAAGCAAAGAGAGGTTGCATCAGGGATACAAAGGCAATCTCTAAAGGGACACTACATTACCTGTACAATAGCTGCAACAAAGCTCAGTTATTTGTACCAAAAGGAAGCTACTTTGAGCAAACATCAATAAGGTCACTTAAAACCAGATTTGCATTACTAAGTTGAAGCTCAAGTGATTGACTCAAACCTACCTCTCATCCTCTTAAACCTCCAGTGCTTTTCTTGTATTTATCATCTACAATATAACATGCAGATTTAAAAAAAAAGCCTTAAATGGTATCTTGAAACATAATTCTTTAAATGTAAGCAACTACTTGCAAAAGCTCACTGAATACAAATATGGAAGAGATGGAAACAGTAAATCCTAACAAAGCCAACTGTGCACAGACACCACTGGGTGCTGTTCTGTGAACACAAAGCCTTTAACTCCTCACAGTAGCTCAACTCTACCTGGGCTAGCAATAAACAGACCTAAAGGAGACCAAGTGCCAGTGAGGACTATCATTTTAGGTAACTTGCTTTCTAATCTTTCTCAGAGTAGGATTAGAGTTGCAGGGCTCAAAACACAACAAGTGCCACCTAGGAAGTCTCTGGGAAACACTTCCTAAAAACACAATTTCAAACTAAAGACAGCGCTGACCATACAAACGCCCAGTTAAAACTGCTATTGTCTTCCCTATTTTGGGCAATACTGACAGTTTCACAAAAAAGAATGCAGTTTATTATACAACTGCTATTAGTAAGAGCATGTTTCATGTCATGAAATGGGGAGCTTAGATAAAACACTCCAATGAATTCTTTTCATTATCTTTGTCCAAGCTATACTTCAACCTCAGGTATCCCAAGACCTCCAGAAAATCCTTTCTTTTTAGGTACTGAAATGCCTCTGATTCTCATGTGCATGCAGCACCCTGAGGAGTATCATACACTTTATCTTCTTATTTATACACAAAACATACATACACTAGATACATTTGTTATCCAGGTGGAAGACACAGACAGGCATGCAGACTCCAAAGGTAAATGCCTTCATTGTGCAATGTCAATGAAGGACTTCAGCAGATGACAACAGTTTTCAGAGGTGAAAGGTGGACTGTTAGATTCTGTCAACTCTGAGACGCCTGTAACAAATTATAGCAGAGAAGGAAACAAAGATAGTATTTAAAAGAAGGATCAAGTAGCAGTGTTTAGGACAGAGCAGAGATCCATAAATTAGACCTACAGGGACAGCCAGCGGCCACACTGCCCTGCCATACTGCTGCCAGGTCAAAAGGAGTATCACTGCAGCTCAGGTAATTCAGAAACCAAACAATCCACTCACTTGTGTCATGGCTGGGATACCTCATTCTGACAGAGCTTCTTGAGCCTCACAGTCTCACACACAAGTCTCAAAATGCTCTCTGATTTTCATTATTACCAGGGCTGGAAGGGAAGGCTTTCAACACATCTCTACAAACATAGGTGCTTTCCCCATATAATGCTCCATTTTTCTTTTAAAATAACTGCTTTGGAAAATGTAACAGATACACTTCTTTCTCCCTACATTCACAACGAGATCTTCATATTTAAGTGATGCCAGTGACTTTCACTGACAGTCTAGCTTCCAGATGTCACGCATTTTGGATCACACTTTTGCAATCCTGTCACCTCCCGGTACTTCAGCTGAATTCTCATGAACTGAAGTGAGTCCAGCCCTAGGAAAGGCAGCAGACAGGTTTATTATTTGGATGAAATGCAGCGCAGTCTGGCTTTGGGGACCAGTTCTATATAAGCTTTTCCAGAGCTGTCCTTTCAGGCTCAGAGCAGGAGCAGCAAGTGGGAAGAGAAAATGGTGGCGAAGCAAAAGGACGGCCAGATCAGTCAGGAACACAAGGGCCAAAAACCAGTGTCCATCTTCCCCTGCCAACTGCAGCAGGCCTGTCCCACCAGGCTCATGGAAAGAAGGACCAGGGGCCTCAGGAGCATGACAGCACCAAAGAGCCTCTGC